ATGAGAATCTCGCGATAAATCCAAGAGACAATGTTCATGAAATATTAAAGTCTCTTAACAGATCAAACTGATATATTGAATTAATTTTATATTAAAGAAAAATACTTTATACAAAAAAAAAACGAAAAAAACATCTTTACTTTTGTAATAAATAGAAATATTATATCACGCTTATATAATTGTTATTTTGTTTAGAAATTGCACAAATTTTATAAATTTTCTTTCGAATTTTAAAAGAATCACTGTGTACTATAGAAGAAGAGTGGGGATGTTTTGTTTTCTTTCTTTTCACGTCCCATAGCAGCCATTTGCGATCAAGACGAGGATACTATCGTTTCGTTTCACGTGTTTATTACTATTCTATATTCTAATAATGCGCAGTGATCAAGTGATTTTTATATTGTGAAAAATTTATAATTAAATTATCAAATCGTGTATTTATTTAAAACGGAAACATTCCTCCTTATTTATTTCCGCTATAAATAAGTATTAATAAAAAATTAGAATTTTAATTTTAACTTTTTTCATAGATATTTTATATGTAACATATCAATATTTTATTTGTATTTCTTGTTGTATCAAGTAATGTATCAAGTGTATTATTTTTAATCTTCATCTTTTTTTCTTTATTTTGAAAAAGATTTTGTACATATAAATAAAAAGTAGAAAAATTTTCAATCAACAAGTTGGAAGACTAGTGTTATCTTTGGGGTGAATTACGACTGATAATTTTAAAATGCGATTTATAAAATATATCAAAACGTATTCTACGATATTTATAACTGATCTAACAACTTCGATTGCTCTTTTTTATTTATGGAACAAGGGATACAAATATTTGGCATCAACGATTTCTTTATGTGGTATCGGTAAGAATTTTGTAATCTAAACAAAGATTATGTTTTACTACTAATGATGTATAATTTTCATAAAAGAATACTCTATTACTAATATTTTTATATCATAATAGAAATTAAAGATGAAATTTATATCAGATATATCTTTGAAATATGAATAATACTTGACTTTCACATTTCTAATTTTATTATCCCTTATCTATTTACCGATAAATTGTATTTATCAATGTGTTATCGGCGAGAAAGTTAATTAATTCAATACAACGCTTAATTTTATATAATAAAATTAATCATTATTAAATCGTTTAATATATTTAATTGATAGACATTTAAATATTGTAAACATTTAATAAAGAATATAATATTATCATCAAATTCTCAATTATGCTATTATAATTTGGAAAAAAAAAACATTTAAAAATAATTTTTCAGGTGCTACTTACTTATATTACTGTACTAAATCTCGGGATAAAATATTTTCAAATCATGCTATTATCGTGACTGGTTGTGATTCAGGATTAGGATATAGTCTGGCTCTGCATTGCCGGCAGCTTGGTGCAATTGTAATCGCTAGTGTATTGCAAATCGATGGACCCGGAGCTAAGCAATTAGAAAATGAAAATGTGCTCGTTTATCCGTTAGATGTAACAAAAATTAAGAGTATTGAAAATTTCGCGAACTCTGTTCGAACAGTCTTGACGAAAAATAATTTAGGTAAATTTGTAATAAAATATAATCATACAAATATATATATATATATGCACACAAGATACTCAAGTTATTAATTCCTAACACTTTTTAGATAAATGTTTTATGAAAGAAATAGAAAAATTTCACAATATTAATAATAAAATTTTGTTTGAAAGCTATTCTTTTCACAAATATATCATTTAAAAAGATATATTTAGAAGAATTAATAACACGAACATTGTGTGAAGTTGATATATATATATATATGCTTAAATCAAAGATAAGAAAATAATTGAGAATATGAATTCGAAAAAGGAAAAAAGATAAACGATCACATACTGAATACTGGTTTCAGTCTTACGGTGTTTGATCAATAATGCAGCGGTAATGATCTTCGGCGAGTTCGAATGGCAAACAGACGAACAGCTTAGGAATCAAGTAGAAGTGAATTTGCTGGGCACTATGAGAATCACTCAAGAATTGATGCCGATGATTCGTGCCCATTTCAGCCGGATTATCGTAATCTCGAGCCACTGTAACATCCAACCGATCCCGGGAGTAGCAGCTTACAGTGGGACGAAAGCTGCCCTCAACGCTTGGGCCACTGCTATTAGGATGGAGTTGAAGAAGTATGGCATCAAGGTCGTTTGCTTTATCCCTGGTCCGTAACCAAAGGATGATTCACTGGAATTAAACTATAAAAAATTGTTCAACAGGAATAGAACAATTTTATGCAAATAATATTTTTCTATCCTTTTATTATTATTGTGATTTTTATATTTACAATAATAATCTACCTACCAATTTCGTTCGATGAAAAAGAATTATCTCTAGATATATTTTTTGATAATTCTGTTCTGTTTCTTTGAAATTTATATTTTGTAATATGTATTTATACGAGTAATTTTTACAAATTATTGTTAGAAAGAATAACGAATAATCGCTTATCTCGTATATTCGCATAGGTTCGTTCGTAAATGAGAGCAATATATTAGCACGACAGGTTGAACACTTCGAGACGATGAGGAGATCGATGTCCGAAGAGGCGAAAACGTTTTACGGTGATTATTTCACCAAGTATTCGCAATATTTCTCTGCTGTGGGACAAGATACGAGTTTGAAAAAGTTACAGGACACGAGTGTCTACGAAATTTTCGAAGGTGCTCTCCTAGATAAATATCCATCGGCAATTTACAAGTACGTCTATTGAATAAAATTTTGAATAATTAAAAAATGAATGTAATTCAATAAAAAAACGAGTCAATGTTAAGAATCTAATGTTAGTTGCAAATAATTACGATAAAATATAAAATACACGTTTAAACGAATAGAATAGTCTACATGAGTGTAGATTTTCGTTGACTGAATCGTATGATTATAAAATTACTAAGACTAAAATTTATACTACTTATCTTGTTGATTTTGATAAACATCTTCATGATGTAATTTTTCATTTCGTTTAACACCTGCATCGAAACACCTGAGCTTGGCTTAGTAAAAAAATCAGTCGCGTGTAAAGTCTTGAATTTTTTTAATCAGTGCCACGCTTTTTTATCTCATGGCTAATAATTTTTTTAAATTCAATTCAGGAATGAATCATGGCGATATTTCATTTATCACGCTTTGTTTGTGATCTCGCCGATCTGTTTGCGAGATAGACTGGTCCAAAAATTTGTGCAAGGCCCTTCGTGGACGAAAAAAAAATGTTAATGATTCAACAAGTTCCACGGATTGAAAAAAAATTAATCTAACTTAAAATTTCAATCGAGAATGATTTATATTTGTATAAAGAGAAAAATTTTTTATAAATAAAAATAAAAAAAAATTGTTATGTATTAAATGAAATAAATAATTTTTTAATTCATTTAACTTGGATTATTTTTTGAATTATTTTTCTTCTTTCCTTTCTTATCGTATGTATAACAGAAATATTTAGAAGAAATTTAGAAATATGTTTTGCATTTATTCAAATTAAAAGAAATTAAATATGGGACAGTTTTTCTTAATTAAAAGTGAGCAAATTCGAATCCAATTAATATGTGTGATCAAAATATATCTAAAAATTATATCGATAAAATAGTAATTACTTAAAACAAACAGTCAAAGTGGTATGATAGTAAAGTACACAAAGTTTAGTTTTCACAGCTGCCACCTGCAATGATAATCGTGATTATCAGAGATGAAATAAAGGATAGATTTTACTTGATTGAATGAACACAAATGTTGCTTTATTACCTTACACAATTTTTATCGATAAAATGTATCGCAGACATAGTTCTTTAGATGTCAGGTGTGTATTTGAAGTGTTTTCAAAGGTTGTCAATGATAATGGTTTTTGATGTTTAATGATTCGATTAGATAGTAACCGCCAATAAATACCTACTCGCAATCCGATGATTTTCAGTTACTTTGAACACGAAAGAAGTAGCAATCCAAAATGGCAATCCTCACCTACGGTATGTATTAATTAGTCTCTACACACTAATAAAATAATAAATTTTCATTAGTTTTTTTAAAAATATCATTTAATTTTGAATGAAAGAAATCATTTAATTTTAATATTTTATATATTGTACGCATCTAGAAAATTTGACAATGTTCAAAGTTGTATAAATATTATTTTAAGAGATATTAATTTAATAAGAGTTTGAAATGACAAATTAATAGAGATATTCAAAGAGAATAAAATTTCTTTTGGAATTTCTGAAAAAATTCTATTTCAAATTTATATTTCTATCCTATTACTTAATTATAGTCCTTATAATTATTCTTAATGAAGTATACACACTTATGATTGCAGTTTACATATTTGCGGTGCTCTTCATCGCCAACTCGATGCAAGATTTCGTGCCCTGCGATGGTAAACCAACTCCAACGAACGTGAAGATTTTGGGCTGCAATAGTCTGCCTTGCAATTTGGTTAGAGGAACCAATGTTGAGGCTAACGTTGACTTTAAAGCTGGTAAGTAGAAATACAATTTTATGAATATTAAAAGAAGATCTAAAACTATTGTAAAATAATGAAAGAGAAACATTTCTTAATATGTTTTATATAGCAATCAAAACAAATTCTTTCTTATGCAAAAATTCCAATATAAAGTGAAATATGTTATAATATAATGTAACATGTCAAAAATATAATTAACTAAACAAGATGTGACACACCATATCGTGTTATAAATATATATTCATGTCATGATTAAATTGTGTGCTATATTTTCTATTTAATAATCTGTTACAGTTGCAAACACGAAAACTCTGAAACCCGTAGTAGATGTTGACCTAGGAAACAGCCACATGCAATACCCACTCCCAGAACAAAATGCTTGCAAGAATCTGGTGAACGGACAGTGCCCATTGAATAAGGGACAAGCAGCTACTTATTACCTTAAGATGCCAGTTCTGAAAGCCTATCCAAAAGTCGCTCTGACTATCCAATTGTCTCTTGTTGATGAAAATAACAATTCTCAAGTATGCTTCAAGATCCCAGCTAAGGTTGTCGACTAAAATGTTTAAAATATGGTTACGATCGTGATATTACGATATGATTGTATTATTTATGAGTTATTACAATAAAATATTAAATACAGTAATAATGAATACCAATATTTTCCATTGAACACATTCTTCGCTTTTTAAATACATGAAAAAGATTGCGATAAGGTAAGGAAGTAATTATAAAATTAAGAAGTTTTTAACGAGAATTTTAAGTTACCTAATTGCATTTTTATGACAGGCGAAATTTATTTTTCTATTTCAAAGATAAGTATATATATAAACGAGTTTAGATAATGACCGTCATAAAGAAAATTTTTTTATGAAAAGTTCCGAGGATTCCAGAGAATATTCTGAAATAAATTATTGAATGGATTATTGAATTTTATAAGATAGGAGACAAATGATGTTGCGTCAGAATTACGCATTACAAACCTATGTTTATCGGAGAAAGGGACGAGATGAAAATCCAGGGGGTTCGGGCGTATGCCTGACCCACATCCCTGCACAACGATCGACCCGGTCGCTCTGAAAGATATCTAGTGACACATTTAAACATACTCTTACTATGAACAATTGTCAGGAATTCGAAAAACTCTTCTCTTAAATTTTAAAGATATTTCAATTTGCGTTTAACCGTATATTTTTTACATATTTATTTCTATCATAAATTCTTTTTAAATATTAAAAATTTATTTAAGTACTAAATATTTCAAATGATATATTTTTAAAATAATTATTTAAATTAAAAGAGAAAAAAGTAAAATTAAATTAAAGCTATACCATTAAAATCAATAGATATACTAGATAGATAAAAATTCTTGAGGTAACGTAGCAAATTTTAAAAGAGAGATAATAGTTCGTGTATATATATTATTTGATTCCATTATTAAATGAATTATGATCGAATTTGCATCGACGAGAAAGAATTTTCTACTACGATGAAGCCTATGATTGTGTAGTTGTTCATTCTGATGGAAATTTATTGAATATATTAGATATATTGGATAATTTTGTTGGAAATTTTGTTCTGCGGATTATCAATTATTTCTTCTTTATTTCACTTGTAATTTATAAACAATCTATTATTTAAAAGATAGAAATTTTATTAATCTTCAAATTCTTAATAAACTATATATTCGAAATTAATTAATTACACGTTCAAGTATTTGAATAATTCTCGTTTAAAGATAAAAAGGAGAAGAATATTATCTAATTTTATATCTTTCTAAATAAATATCGATTTAAAAGATAACTACGAAAAAAAAAAAAACCCACTTGAATCAATTAATTCAATCAAATTAGTTGATTGATTATTAACAGAGATAACTGATAAGTTTATATTCGCGTATAATCTTTTTACTATAAAGAATATGCATTTCGCGTCAATTGTTTGCGTTTATATGAGCAATTAATTCTTTTTTGTTCCTACATATATTTCTACGTGGATGACGTTCACATAAATGAATCAATGTAAGATAAAATAGAAATAATATTACCGTTTGTGTGAATGCAGCAAATACATATCATGTATTCAAAAAGAAAAGAAAATTTCTATGTATGGTTGTTTCCGTTTTATAGCCATCACTGGTTCTGTTCGAATCGGCCGCTAAAAAGGGAACATGAGAGCGAAATGGATTTACCGACCCACGCAAGACTACATGGGATTCGCATTCTCTTCTTCGTACATATTTCTTTTGTCCTTCTGTCTTATTCTCTATTTCCATCTTTGTTCTCTCATATCTTCCACTTTATAGCGTGTACGTATAATACCGATTCCACCAAAGGTTTGTCAATAATGATTCACGAGTCTAGGCGTGCCTCGCATATGAGAACCAGCCCGAAAATAAACAGGTCGCGCGCAATGTCACACACAGATCCCTTTAAAGTATGTCTCAATGTATATACATATGTGTAATCTTGCAAAGAGAGCGAATGAGACAACGCGATACGATGAAAGGTATTGACGGAGAAGAAAGAAAGAGATGCAATATACAAATGCAAGGAAATGCGAGCTTTGCATGCGCTTAACTTCTTGAGTGAAGCTCCTTTCTACACGAATGTTTTCTCTTAAAGCATCCGATGGTAATGTACCGGGTGAAAAATGACTGAATATTTGTATGTACGAATGCAGAGATCATATTATAAAAAATTAATAAGACAGTCTTCTTAAAACATTACAGATGGCTATGTAGATCTTGAAAAATATTTTCAGAAGTAATTAATTTTTTTAAATATTAATACTAATAATTTCTCAAATTTCAAATTTAATGTTAGCAATGGAATATATTATATGAAACTCACCTACTCCATTTATCTACAGTTTAGCATTCAACATTTATAACATCGATATCGAATCCTATCATATCGCGAATAATGTTTGTAACATATAATTTGCATTCTGCGTGAGCAGAAAATAAATGGACAATTAAACTCGAAACGTAGGCGATACTTTAATTCTATGTTAAACTAATCGACTGTGACACTCACAAAGTAATTTGATTATTCTATGAATCTATCTTCACAAGATTGCTTCTTACTAATCTCGAAAACAATTTTCTACTGTAGCAATTTATCGAATAAATCGAGTATCATTTTTACCGATCGATATAATCGTTCGATATTTGTGTCAGTATGGCGCGTTTCCGTGCAGTTTAAAATTCGTAAAAAGAATGTGACGTTCGACCGCACTTAACTAAGGAAGATCAGTGAGGGCAAAAGTGTGCAGGAAGGTTAATTCGTTTTAAATTAAAGTGAATCTCCCTTCACCCCGATGGAACCTCAATGAAGAAAGAAACAGAGTGGGACGTGATGATTTCTAACTAACACCTAACCTCAATCTCATGAATTCTTTTATTAGTTCATATACAACAAAGTACATATGAATATTATATGGAAATGACGAAATTATTAACTATTTTTCCAATAATTATTAATAAATCGAGAACAAAAACAGACAATATATATGATAACAGACATTCTATACAATTTTAATGCGTGAATATCATGTAATATATTGTAAATAAAGAAACGTTATTCAGAATGAAAAAGGATAACTATACGGGTATTGCTCTTGCGAGAACGCAATAGATAGAGTGAAAGAGTATATAATATGTCATGAGAAGGGGAAAGAATTACGTATTATAATTATAGAGTGAGCGAGTGAAAGGGACTTGTATCGGTCGTTCAAAGTGGAGGGGCATGATTGTGATGAGTCGGGGTGCCTTCGTATCGCTTGTAAACTCGTACTCCTCGTACTACGTGTAGTATGAAAAGAAGCTTCGTGCTGTGACGTCAGCACAGTATTTCGGTATAGTTGCGTGAAACATTGTTACGAAATTGTATTCGCATAGAATTTATTCTAATCCAACGAAAGTGAACGTGTTCGAATTCGGTTCATATGTGCTTGCGATTGAATATTAGTGTATATCGTACATAGTCGTAGGATTCATTTGGTCATCGTAAGTGTAGCGCGTGCAGCAGGTAGTCGGAACATCGACCGACAGCCATCATTGTTGTCAAGATGGCGTCGAAAGGAAAGCTAGCAACCGAGGTCAGTAACATTTTTTGATTTTTTTATCTATATACATATTCAACATAGTTTCGATGACAATGCAAGTGTAGGATATTTAAATAAAAAATATTCAAATCAAATTTGTTATGTATGATTTTTCTGTATTATCGATTAATTCATTGAACTTGCAATCGTTACTAATTGTATTCGCGCGCTTCATTCGACAACAGGCCACGCGTCGTGTTCAGACGTCATACTGACCGGTAAACCACGCCCTTGAATAGTCATTTTTCATTGATGTTTTTCATTGATGCATTTTAGAATCTACAGATAATATTAATATAGTTTTCTTTGCATAAATTTTTAAAAGATATAAAATATGTATTTTATTTGTTAAATTTGTTAAAATGCATTAACCTATTTGATCCTTTTTTAAACTTCTATTCATTTATAATATTTCTTCTTCATAAATGACACTTTTTAACAAGTGAATTTATTATATAGTCACATGAATCCTCGTGAAACACGTGCATGTAATTGTATCTGCAAAGTATGATTTTTCGTTGACAGCAATAGAAATACGATCTATGAGATCAAATGAATTATGGATTGACTTGTATTTTTTCTTTCTATCATACTATCTCGAAAAAAAAAAATATGCATATGTGGCTTTGAATATACTTGTTTTTTCACTTCTGGAATATTATTAGTGCACATTAGTGCACATATAGTGCACAGCGGTTAATGCATAAGTTGACCGATTCATATGCATAAATGCAAAAGATATTTTATTTAGTATTAGATTACGTTTTCTTGCTATTCGATACTAAAGCTTATATATCTTTGTTGTATCAATAACAATAAATATATATTTGAATGCCATATTTTTATTTCTGCAGTATCTTATTAAAAAACTATAGGTTATCTATTTGTAGAATACAATATTTGAGAGAATTCTATTATAAATATTTAAGATGTTGTAATATATGCTGTGTAAATATAAACATTTTTGTGTGATTAGTTAGTTTCTCTTTAGAAAGTTTATAGATATTTATGTCAAGGTTCAAATATAGTAATGGTAGCCATCCCATAGGAAAAAAGGAAATAGCAAGCAATAAAATCCCCTAGAAAATAGTATTACAGACTACTTTTTAATTCCTTTCTATTAAAAGTATAATCAATGACTAAAGATAAAAATATCTAAGTTATTTTGTGTTCCATGTTGTATATAAACATATGAATATAGAAAACAGTTGATGAGATGGTAATCGTATTTCATAATAATTATATATTATCACAATTATTACATTATTTTGTGTAGGATATAATTATTTGAAATATAAATAGATTGTTGACATTATATTATTTTGTGTTATTAATTATCATTATTTGAAACATAAAATTAATGATAAATTTCAATTACAATTTCCTTTTGTGGTTATTTTTTTCTGTGGTTAATATTCTTGGATTTGAATAGCATTTGTTCGAGGTTGTTTTCTATTTTGGCAAGTTGCCATTTGTTGAACGTGGAAAGCAATTTTATTTTTATAATACGATATACGACCTTGATTTGAGGAATCCATATAAAAATCATCCTATATACATATGAGATATAATATAATATAATAAAATATAATATATATGTTTAAAAATAAATATTTAGAGAAGCTTATGTAATATTTTGAAAAAAATAGTAACAATTATAATTAACTATGAGAGTTACTCCGTTATGTAGTCTTGATGAAAATCAATAATACAAAATGCGATTGAGATTATTTCATTTGTACAATAGCCATTGTAAATGTTTTTGTCGAAGGTCGTTGATCTCAATCACTGTATTAGACGACAAGATTATATGTGACTATGTTTCTATCTTTTCATTTACTGCTTCCATTGTTATTTTAGATAGAATTTAAATTTTTCATGTTATGCAATTATCATTAAATCAACTGAAATAGAACTATCTTTTTACATGTTACAATTTTTAATAATATTTATAATTTCACATCATTATTGACAAAAAAATAAAGTATTTATGACAAGTTGGATAAAAAATTTGAATTTAGTGATTAATTAAACATATTTTACATATATTGTAGAAAGAAATCAGAAATAACGATAAGAAGTAAAAATTAAAATACAGTCCTAAGACAAGTGTTTTATAAAATTGCCACAAGATGGCAGGAGGTGGACATTGAGAGAACAACGTGGTAACTTGTGACACATAAGCCAGTCTGGTTCTCTCTTCTCCTTTTTTTTCTTGTTCCTCGGATGCCCCTCTTTATCGTTCTCGTCTCACCTTCGACGCTAATTTGAACGATACGGTTCGCGCTTATTATCGCTAAATTAGCCATTATGTTGTTATTTTAACGAGTCGATGTGTGTCAGGGGGCCGTGCACACGCTTCCAGTGTGTCTACTGTATTTCCTCGTTCAATTTCTCTTCTGCTTATTCAACATCGCTGTCATGACATGACATGACCCGCCTTTGAAAGACGTGTAGTGATTTTTCACGTTTTTTTTTTCTTGATTTTTGCATTATTATTCTTTTTTTGTTTGAAAATATTCTCCATTTAATTATTTTGTTAAAAATTTAATAGATGTATTTGTAGGTTATCTCAACCATAAATTTATTTTGATCTATGATCAGATGTCGCTGATATCGCTGACGTCACTATGCGAAGTTCATAATATTTCGATTATCATTATGTCTTTATCTTCATACCAATAATATATAGTATAAAAATTTATTTTTGTTTTTTTTAAAGAAATAAATAGATTTTACGATTTTAGGATAATAAGATTAGAAAATTATTTCACAATGCAATTTATTTTTGAGTGAAACAAATTTTTATAAACGTGCTTGATTTTCATATCATAACATGTATTGTGAATTTATTAGATAAATATATAGTTTTTTTTTTTAATATAAATTTTCAATATAAAATGATGATATTAATGATTAAAATAATTTCTGATTATTTTACTGAAATATTTTTATATTTTATATTACGAATTTTATTTTTTAGCGGGATATAAGCAATGCGTTATACCATGTAATTTATATATAATTCATTCAAACATGAATTAAGGAAATATCTTTTGAAATTTCATTTTTATTATGCAATTTCACATACATTGATATTCATTGAAAGAAATTCTTCTTCCTAATTCAATATAAAATCAATCAATATATTTCAATTAAACATCTTAAAGCCCCATTCGCATCATTACATTTTTGATTTTCTTTATTTCTAATAATTTAATTCGTTAAATATTAATATTTATTATAACGAATTTCAACCGATATATTTATAAAAATCTTCATAAAACTCATGTAAATATATTATAACAAATATTTATTATAGTTATTACGTCTATATTTCATTAATCACATTAATCTAAATAATGCTTAATTACAAATTATCTCATTCTAACATTTATCATTTTTTTATTACATAAAGAATCAATAATATAATTAAAAACAATTATCCGTAATATTTTTAAATGTATTATAAATAAATATAATATTTAAAATTAAAATTAAAGCGATAAAAATAAATAGTAATAAATAATAACGCGTTTAATAATTTAATGACTACTTTACTATGGGTCAAAATTAATATTTCTCATTTTTTATATATAAAATTCATATTCATACTCATTATTTCAATTTTCAAGAAATAAAAACATCTTGAAAATTGAAAAAACTTCCTATTTCTTACTTCCTTTCGTGAATATCAAATTTCTAGTGACCAAAAAAAATTCCCTAGACGAATATCGCAACATCGATATTCTCGATTCCATTTCAAAGATAATTCAAATGAATCGACATTTCATATAGGATGTTTCCAATACATCTGCCACGCCTTTCAGATTTACATTACAAGTTCGATATATATTTTCATAAGGAATACAATGACAAAACCATCAATTTTCCAAAAATCCAAGTCCCTATGGATTATGGTTCGTTTTATCGCTCGAATCTGAAGATTTTTGTGAGGATTTAAAGGATATCCGTATTCGAGGTCAGACCCGTGACAGTGAAGCGGGCAGATTCGTCTCGCGAGATCTGGCTCGATCCAGCTGTTTTAATGGTGAACTTCCGCGAGACGAACACCGAGAGGGTCAGCCCACGCGGGCAGGGAGCATAATTCCTGAGAAAGGAAACCGCCCTGTATACTATTGGCCCTTTTAAACTTCTTTACCGACTAATTCTCTGTCACATCCGCGCCGCGACGTTCCTGCCTCTTGATTATTTAAATGCCCGCAAATGGCCACACTATGTTTTTTCCTCTCGCGTCGAGACCCCTCGTATTTACTACAGTTCGTTGATTTGGCACACGTTGCTCGTAAAATGGCACCTGATTAGGCACCGCTAAAAAAACTCGATATCTTTATTTATTTTATTGTTGCTTTCTGTTTTTTTATTAGAAATTAATTAATGAAATAATGTATAAAAAAAAACCTTGAAAATAATGTAAATGAAGCATTTTACATTATTAATTTTCCAAATTATAAAAAATACGGAATGATAGATATTTTATATTATGATTAGGGATATAGAAAAAAATTTCTATATCAAAAATTCATTTAAGTCTTATAAAATTTTGGTAATTTAGGCACTTTTGAATGATATTATCACTCAACTGATATAAACAATCGTGGAAATCATAAAAATAAATTAAAAAAATTGTTTCAAGCACGTGCTCAACTCGCTTGAACGAGTGCGCGTATTTTAATTCAGTTACATATAAAATTTTACGATACCGCAAGTTCGTAGTATTAAAAGAGATAAATGGTTAAATGGATCAACTCTCCTGTAACTTGGTACGAACGCGGCAAATGAGAATAATTCAAATGAGCTTATCATTCAAATTTCCACTCGCTGATGCATCTTATTTCCACCAATAGCGTTATTATATCTGTCTGGTGCCGTTGTATATTGTTGCCTTACGCGCTGCATATTCCAGTCGATATAGCTTATACTATTCCAGTCCAGAGATAACAGCTTATCCACCGATAAAATTACGTAACGAC